GGGCGAGGGCAGTGAATTTCTTTAGGTCAACCATGAGTTCCTATAAAATTCATTCACCCCAATTTTAAAAAGCCATGACGCATTTGCGTTAAACCAGTCTAGGCGAGTATTAAGGTACATGGTTTCTCCATCTGTAAGTTTCTGCGTTTTCAATAGATTAATTTAGAGGAACCAGAGTACTTTTTTCATCCTCCTCTCCAAACAAAAAGCAAAACTAATAATATTCCCCTCATCCTAGATCAGATCCAAGGGAAGAGAAGACAGATGCTTACTAGGGCACAGGTAAACAATAAAAACGGCCCTTCATGCGTTACAATTAAACTATTGTACTTAACTTCAAAAGCAATTTCTGTAGAATCATAAATCGCATTCCAAACTTCCTTTGGTAAATGAGAAGACATTCTCCACAAGGGGCTAAATATTGTGTTCCTTGCCAAAGGCAGTTTCTCTACCGGATCTCCAGAGCCTAGTCTATCTATTTATTCTGTAGTGAACTTTTCCACTCCCCCATCCACAGAATTCACTCCATCCTGCAGTTTTCCCTTTCTAACTACAAAAAGGACCCAGCAAAGAGCTCCACTACGGAAGTGCTGGCTTTGCGGAGGGGATTGGGACTCCAGAATACCACCGAGCTAGTTTACATTGCGCAGTTACGACTTTCCCCATTTGCCCCTTATCTGGTGAACCATCGGAACTTCCACTCGCCGTACTCTGCTCCCCTGCCCAAAGAGTCAGGCTATGTTATGGCGCTGTCCCCAAAGTAGAAGGAAAAAATGAAGACACTGATACCTCTCGGAATAGCGCAGGAGCTCCGCGTCGAGCTGTTCTCGAATTCCGGTGCGCTTCCTGTTGAGGTAACGCGGCGACAGAGCGATGTGCCTTCGGTGCGGCCCGGCCACCAGGCAGGAGTAGCGGTTATTCACCAGTGCGCAAGCAGTATCGTAAGTTGGCAGCTCTAGGCAAGGCAGGACGCCGGCTGCTCCCACCACCGGACCTTCGGAAGCAGCCTTTGGCCGCTGCACCTCTGAACAACCTGCAGCCATGCGGATTGTCAGGTTTCCCAAGGCGCGCCCCACTGACGTACTATAACCGCCTCTTCCTCAACGCCTAGTTTTAACGTCATCCAGCAGTTGCCCTGCCCCTCGCAAATTCCGCTTCTCGGGCTGCGCTGCACAGATCTAACCAGCAGAGGGCAACATCTTTTCGGCGTTTCCAGGTCTTGGTCTGTCCCCAAACGGTAGCGGTTACTGAGCCTTCGCTAGTGTTGTTAAGTGCTGTCGAGTCAGTTACGACCCACAGCGACCCTGTACAGG